GGCATTCGACTTTAAAAGAACTTAAAGTTTTAAAAACGATTAAGCAATATCTAATATTTGACTAAAGTGTGTGTATGTGTGTGTATGTGTGTGTTTGAAGTTTCTCCCCTTCCTTTCTAAAACATTTAATAATATCTTTTCGTAGGGGATTATATTTCTTTCGTATATTTCCTATTTCGCATATGGTAAAAAAAAGTATATATTCGCACAACTTTGCGCACAAAGAAAATATTGTGCAAAATGCTTTATTCTCTCAACGACAAATTTATTTAATGCAAACTAAAATATAATTCCGATGCAAACATCTCGGAATAATATATGTTTTTTTCTTTACAAATTAAAATTATTCCAAAAATGATAATATAAAAAATGACTTTTTCTTTATACCTTGTACCCAAGTTATTTAAACAGCTAATTGAATAGCTTCATCATGCTACGTCGATTCTATTTGCGCGTCGAAAATTTCAGAAGAAAATTATGCGCGTATTACGTCTATTGGACCAAAAATCTAACAGGAAGAAAATGAAAGTCATATCTGATGCCAATTAAATTTTGGCAAACGCGGATGAATCTTTAATAAAGCTTCGCGAACCAATCGAGTTTTCGTAACGAGCGCTTTTAACGAATAAGATTTAGCTTTAGAGATAGCGTCCGATTAAAATATTAAAAATATAAGAGCGGATAAAAATAAACTCGGTACATAACAGTAACGGATATAATAACGACGATACGCTATAATGAAGCAAACTCTGTTACAAATATGTAACAAGCAGGGTTTTCTACCTTCCAATAATAATAATAATGATCGTGTCACGATAACCGAATCGTAAAAATGCAATCGTGATATAATATAACATGACGAAAGAAAGTAATGGACATTGCGTCAAATATCTGAATTCTCACAAAATATACGATCATCGCGCACCAGCTGCGGCTGCTTTGCGTCACACTACGCAGAAAATTAAGATTCAGAAGGAAACATTTACGACACGAGACTGATTGCGTGATTAGCGGAAGCAGTCACAGTGCCGCCAATTATTAAACAGCCGAGAACGACAGCTTTACCGTTTATTAATATGTAGCTACTATTACTATTATTATCATTGTCGTTTCTATCTTGTTGGCAATTTCTCTTTTTTTTTCTTAAGACTTTTCGCAAAACTACATGTGTATTCTCTTTTTCGATTTTACAATAATATTTATACTCTGTCTCCGGAACGGTTGTACTCCGGCATTGTCCCAATTTCTACAATTGCGTCTCCGAAACGGTAAATTTCGGGGTCGAGGGTCGAGGGTGAGGAAGAAGTAGGTCGTATCGATCGAAGCCCTTCAGGAGGCAAACGTTCAGAGATTGTTGCTTCGGTTCAACCTAATCAACAACGAAACGATAGCGAATCGAGTCTGAGATTCGAGCGGAAATTTGCGAGTTAATTAAAGGACAAACAATCATTTTACTCGAACGTTATAGTACATGATAGGAAAAAAAAAAAAGGAAGATTGCGCGATTCGTAGTGACTTGTATACTACCTACGGATATGTCTCGTTTATCTCGTTAAACGACGGCGTTAATATTGTTTTTTGTGATACGAGATAAGCGGAACGCGCGAGAATTTTCAACAGTGCGTGAGAAATATACAAATAAAAATAAAATACCATTTTGCATATTGCAAAGTTAGTAATAATTCAAATACGACTGCAAACTTTTAAACAGAAATTGCATTGTTACTGCAGTACATAGATCCTTGAGAAGCACACGCTACATTTTCAATTTGTAACTTGCATGGATTAAAAATATAAAAATTTAAATATTTTCTTTTTTAAGAAAAAGAGAAAAATTTTGTAAATTTTTTACACATTATTCAAAAGCTAATAAAACGAAAAATATGTTTTATGTTAGCAAATAATAAATAACATGTTTTCTAAATAAAACAATACGTATAAATACATATAAAATGACTGAAAACATTAGGTAAAAAAATTATCTTAATATTCAAATTTAAACATGTAAAACAATAAACAATTTTCAAATAACGATTGTTTTAAGCAAATTTGTACCATAAACACTATGTACGTGCTAATTTGTAAAGACCTTGAATCTTCTTCTCTCCTCCCCCCATAAAAGACCGTGCGTAATATATCTATGTATCTTGCAACAAAACGCATGCAATAAATTGAATTTTCAAAACGCCCATGAGACCTGAAAATAATTTGCACAAATCCGCGGCGGATTCTATTTCACTTTAAGTTAAACTGTACACCCCTCTACCGATAGAAATTAATAATAAAACAACTACTCACGAATTATTAAATATACTTTATTTATGTATATGTAATATTGATCATCCGTTTCAAATGCAAGAAATATACTTCATAGAGTAAGAAAGTATTTTCAAAATTCCTTCTCTTTGTCAAGATAATTTTCAAGAAAAGTCACGATACTTTTTAATCAATTTTTTAATAACATTTTTATAATAAAAAACAATGTATTTTTTATGTGGAAATATTTTTCCATGGATATTTCTGTCTCGTGTGCAAATAATTTTTTTTTACTCACTCCATCTCTTGGCATATATAATCAATTCTATATATACACGAATAAGTTAAATATATCAAACAATTTATATTTCCTACAATGTATGCCCGGTAACTGTTACCATTCAAGTCGTAATAACAAGATACTTAACGATACATAAAATTATTAAAATATACGATTCGTTGGATGCATTACAAAGTGAATCGCATAAAACTATTTTCTGTTTTAATATCTTGTATGATAATGAGAAAAATGTGAATTCGTTATTTATCGTACTTTTTATTTGTAATTTTGTTTTGTTTCCAAGTTTGATCTTTAAATATCGTGGGCGTCGATTAATCGATTAATCTCTCCAATTAAATGTGTGATACGCCAGTGTAACGTCACATGATATTTACTTATATACGAGAGTTTGAGTCTATCTGGCTCGCTACGTCTGTAAATGTTATCAAAGTTGCAGTCTTATCGTATGAAACGTCAAACGCGCAATTGCGAATCACAAAAAAGCAATGTGACACATTATGCATACAAAAAAAAGAAAAAAAGGAAAAAAGGAAAAAAAGAATCGGCGTAAAAAAATCTTGATACAAAAAGTTATGCTGAATCGACAAATGGAAAACGTGCGCGTTCGTATTTAGATTTTCGTGTGTCAGGATTATTGATTCAAAAATATTTAATAATATATTTATATCAATTAATACGTCAGTAATTTAATATTGTACACATTTTTTCGTTAATTATTTTTGAATTTCATGTATCGATATTTCATGCAATATGTGTGTCAAACATTTACATTTAGAAGCTGTATTATCACAGTTTCGACTCATGATGTATGTACAAATATCTATATACGAGGCACGCTGAGACTATGCTCTTTTCAAATGTGCTAACTTGATGAATGTAGCATGTTATTTTTTAGACCGAGTGTACTCGAGCGCACAAAACTCTTGGTATCGCGTCATAAATTTACTATATGGCTTTTAACAAATGATTTTTCACCATTTATATAACACTCTTGAGAGTTTATCAACATTTCTAGGCACTTTATGTCTAAGCGTTTCCGGCTCCGAACATGGAACGATCAATGTACGAATCTCCGAGAGACCGGTTTTTCAAGGTCAACGAAAACACTCCATGGATGCTTGCGCAATGTGCTCACGCACAATGGGAATCAAACTATTCGATTTTTCTTATCATCGTGCTATGTTATATTTTAACTTTTGTATATAAATAATGACCCCTTTATTTTTCTCTTATATCGAAAGCGGTATTCTTTGATCGAAAGTCTCAAACGCAAAAGGAATCGGATGAAAACTAAACAACAGTTTAAATTACATCTTTGGAAAATGGAAAATCCTATTTCTTTTAGACACACCACCTATCGTTTTTCCCCATTAACATTTATCTTTCCTCTCTTCCTCTCTTCCTCTCTTTCTCTCTTTGAGGAGAGAGAAGAAATGTGTGTGCTCGATGTGTCATACTCCACATTCTACAATACATCATTTTAAGTAGAAATGCATGTAATGCGGCTAACAATAAGAAAAACAATGCCGTTCGTGAATGACGTAGTTACGTACAACTAACCGAAAGAAACTTTGCAATGTCGTCGTCGTTCTCGTCGTCGGTTAGGTGACTTATTAATCCCTAAGCGGTAAAAATCGCATTTTTGCTCTGTATCGCGACACATTCCATTTAGATTACGTAATAACGAGAAAAGCGGAAGGAAATATTGTCGAATGCCGAATGAGGAGATGCCGGAAAGATCCGCGTTATAGATGCCCGCGTATTCAGTTTGCAATTTACAATTTACCAACTTTAAGCTCTCTCATTTCATTTAAAGGAGACGAGACTCGCAAAGAGCAACAGCGATAACCGTATGATGTAGCGCAAGAAAAATACCAGACGATGCGAATCTTATCCGTTTTATGCAGACGCGTCTCTCGGTCGTATAACGTAAACATGTGATAAAAAGACTCACCTACTTTTGGTTCTCTCGTGTATTGTATAATATATGCTATTCTTTTCTTTAAAAAGAACACAAAAAAGAAGAGGAAAAAATATACTCCGCCTCGGGCACAAAGTCACATATATAATATGTATGATGTAACATCAATGAAAGAAAGAAGAAAAAAAAAGAAACTTGTATTAACACTGTACCGTACGATTTATCGAAAACGCGCGATACCACCGTCCTTCGCAAACTCACTGACAATACAAGCGTTGTCGCACGCACAGTCGACGCACAGCGATACGCGACGATGAGCGATGTTTACGACGAACGCAGGTCTCATCCTGTACTGTTGACACGCTTGACACGCTTGACACGCTTGTCACGTTTGTCACGTTTGTCACGCTTGTCTCTCGAAGACGAGCGCCGCGCATTTAAAGGACACGGCGACGATGACTGTACAGACGCAAAAACTTGAAATTTCCGTATCGAAAACATCCAAGTGCGATGTACCGCTAACAGATTTCGAGTCACGCGGGCATCGATCGTCGGTGTTTGCCGTTGAAACGCGCACTGCCCACTGCCACTGACTTGATACATTTGCATTCGCACCGCGCCATCCACCATCTACCATCTACCATCCACCGCGTACACCGCCGCACGTCGCACGTCGCACGTCGCACGCCGCAATCGCCGCATAGCAATACGTGTTCGTGAATTTCGGCTGTCGATTCATAAAATTTCAACAGCGCCATCTTGACAAAAGGCTATAAACTTTGTCGCCCTCGTACGGTCGATCATTCTCGATAGATGTGTACTTTTGTACCGACAACTATATATTATATTTAATTCTACGTGCATATTCATGCAAATATAAAATTTCAAAATATATAATTAGAAATCAATCCACCAATAGTAAATATAATTACCAATATATATATATCATCTGTTAGCAAAAAACGGCACGAACTTTCCGTTCAACCTAATATATATATATGTATGTATGTATGTATGTATGTAGGTATGTATGTATGTATGTATGTATGTATGTATGTATGTATGCATGGATGTATGCATGTGTATATGAATGTATATGTATCTGTCTGTCTGTCTGTATGTATATATATGTATAAAATTATATTTTCTACATCACATTTTATAAATTTACTTTGTATATTAATTTCTTTCCTGTATAATTATATATTTATATTTTTTCTAATTTTTGTAACATTATACGTTTCCCTTAATGCTGCAATTCTACTCTTAACCAAAATAAAACTAAAAAAATTAAAAAAAAGTATCGGTATTTTCAATATCGATGGCACGACCATTACTATTTGCATATAAAAAGACTTGTTTATTTAAAAAAAAAAAAAAATGATTATATATACATTTTGCAAAATTAGTCGAATGCCGGACGCTTCAAGACTCTTGGCATCCAAGGAGCGGCTTCTCGGTTTTGCACCGAAACAATCGTCCTTCTTCCCGCTCTTTATCCATCGAAAATATGAAGACATTTCAAAATTTTCTGTATCTATCACCTTTTAGATTTGTCGTAAATCGCATAACTGAATAATTAAAGTTACATCATTTGTTTTACCCTATTTATCGATTAACGAATTGAGTTTGAAATTTCTTAATTACAAATTATATATGCGGACTTTATAAACAAGACCTGCTTGTTTAAAAAGTAAAAAATCTTAATTATGGAATCTGACCGATTGACAAAAACTCATTCCTTTTCCATCCTTGATATTTCCTTGGATTCTCGAGTTGTCTCTCCAGTTTATGCGGTAATATGAATTTCACGTGTGGCCATTACATAAAATGGACGTATTAACGCGTTGTCTGTGCGATAAAGGAGAGGAGAAAAAACCGATTACTAATACGGTGTGGCACATATGTCACAGGTGCAGCACACATGTTTGTGTCAGCTATCATTCGGTCATCTCATCTTACAAACGATCACGAATGATATCGTTTTTCTCTCCCTTCCTCTCTCTTTTCCTCTATGTATGTACATATGTACACATATATGATAATTGTTTATAATTTTCTCAACTTAATCGCCATATTTGTCATTAATTTCATTGTTCTGACTCTTATAATCTAGAATCTAGATTATTAAATAATAAATAATAATATACTTGACGCGCTATCTATATAACTACATTTATGCATTTATAATAATATCGATATAATTAAATTTGCATTTAGAATAAAAATAAAGATAAAAATTTTTTTGACATCAGTCGACAAAAGAATATCGCGACACGTGTAATTTATCTAAGATAGCCAGTAGCGCAAATACTGTTACGGCGATTTGAAAAGCATAGCAGCATAAACAGCTCGAGTTTTTTCCATTGTAAATTTCGTATTGTTGGTAACCCGACGTGACATTAACCGTCTTGCTGTAACTTATAATGGAGGAGATACAAGTTTTTCATCTAGATCTCGCAGTGGCTAAGCGAGGATCGGTAAATCTTTCAGATTCCATACGCATTTTTCTTCTCAATTAAAAAAAAAACCTATTTTAATGATCAAGCGAATTTTAATGTTTGTAATTTCAAAATTGACATTGTATGCGGAAAGATATGCTTATGATTTTAAGCGTTCACGAATCGCTAATAATTCATCACATGACGCAATTTGTCATTGAATCGATTTTAATAGTTTTCTATGAAATTTTTCGTCAAAGGAGAAAAATTAACAATCTTTTAAGTATTCTGCTTATTAAGAAAAACGTCTCAATATTTTCCAAACAGCTCTCGCTCGTGTTGCAATTACTCTCTTACTAATCGATCGTCCGATGAGTTTTTCTCAATCTACGCGCGCGAATCAATTACATACACACGCTAAACACTACTGCAAAAGTAACAGGCACGATCGTTCTTTTCACATGTTCAGTGTCGCAAGTACGGCGAGTCACTGAGCGAAGATATGCCTCTCTTTCCTGTCTTTTTCTGCTTGATACGCCAACATGCTACCTCCCACTAGCGACGGCTGTATTGTGCACTCGTTGTATTTTGTCACAAACACCGTCGAGACACCTGTTCGTACGACGAGAATCGTCACTTACAAAATTTGTTATTCAAGCGTATTACAAATTAGCTGTATACGACAAATGCTTGTGTTATATTGCCTCATCTTGAGCAAGAAAAATATATCTTTAATGCCCGAAACACATTTCCATCAGTCGTAGATTTTAAAGACCAAATTTCATCAGCGTGTTGTGTGAATAAAGATAAGAAAAATGTATGTTACATAAATATTGCTTCATAAATGCTTTATCAACAAGTCGTAGCATAAATACAAAATAGAATAAAACGATAATGCTTTGATGGTTTATTTTAGATGCATATACTATTTTAAAATCATTGAAAGATTAGATTATATCAAAATTTATTTTCAGATAAACAATATATCATACAAATTATGTTGATACTTGAAACAGTAAACATAACATACATGCAAATATACATATAACATATTTCATATATTTTTGTTGTAACATTTTGATGAAGCAGTTACGAGCTTATATATTTAGACAAGAATTTTTTTTTTAATTTTGCTCGTATGATACGGACGATGATGCAGATTTTCACAATAAAAACTCAAATACTCTCTGTGTATTTTGTGTGTGTGTGTGTGTGTGTGTGTGTGTGTGTGTGTGATTACGACCCCCTAAATATATCTCGTGAAAAACGTGCAAAATAAGAAAATTCTCTATCAATTACTTTTATAATTATTATTGTTTATCAAAACAGAATGTATTTCAATACACGGGCAATTACACTATTAATATGCTATTAATACAACGCTTATCTTAATGTCTCGAGCATTTGTTATTATTATGCCTTTTCTTTATTACCGACTTAATTAGAATTACGATTACGCATTGCTTTACTTTACTGACGACACAATATTATTCACCATGCATTTGATAACAATTTCTCTGTTAATCCCAAATTAAGAACCGAAAGGCAAAAAGATAGGAAACGTTTTTGCCTACTCTCTCTCTCTCTCTCTCTTGCTTACATGCGATAAAGAAGACCTCTATCTTTACTAACAATAAGGCAAATTCTCGACGCGCGCCAATTATGTTTAGATTATCGCGTGATTTGTTCCATGTTTCTATATAATCTAGATTCTAGATTATATTTGCATGACTCTATATTTGCGTGAAATGTATCTGACAATTACAAATTCGTGTTTAACACGCGCGCGCGCGTGTGTGTATGTGTTTGTACATGAAAAGTTAAATAATAAATTATAAAAAGCTAAGCTAAATACCAATAAAAGTAGAATTCCGAATACTCTTTTTTATTTGTCAATAAACAGAATGCATAAAATATTCACGTATATGCAGTTGATCGCACAAATATTCGCAGTAATCTATATAATTCAAAATGTTTGTTATTGAATTAATAAATAAATTAAATTCAGTCTCAGTAGACGTAAAGGGTTACTTACAGCTTTTCGCTTATCCTCTGCACTCAAGGCACTATGACTCCTGTGCCTGATAAGATCCATAACTTTGCTCACAGGATTTCTGCTACTTTCAGATCCAGCTCTAGGTCTTCCACTTCCTTGTTCCTTATTCTCTTTCTGTTCTCTCTGGCTATCTCGATTATATTCTTTCTCTGTATGTACATCCACCGATGAACTCCCGTGCGATCCTCTATGCAAGGAATGCTGGATAATGGCAGAGAGAAATAGAGAGAAAATAAATAAAAATTAACAATATTATATACGCATGCACACAATTATAAAATGTTATCCAAATATAAATTTTTCCAACTTTATATACTAATATTGTTAAAATTACTTTCTTTTCTGCATGTTTCTCAATTACTTGAGAAGAGCATCTCTCTTTTTAACAACTTAATATAATGCATGCATTATACTAGATATTGTACATATATTATACTATATACTGTAAATATGTATATTGTGATAACATATTTTAAAAGTATATTCCAAAATATATTTTGTTATCAAGTTTCCGCTAATTATCGTAATACAAATCATTTTTAATACACTTTTCTTTTCTTTTACCTGAACGGCGCTTTTCATATTTGCTATAATACTGGGTTTCCTTTTGCTGGCATCCGATTTGCTCCTCGGCCTAAAAGCATCAAAGAGCGCCGGCTTTCTCGTAGGACTGGCGGTGTCGTCCGTAGTACCGCTGCTTCTTCTACGTTCCGTGCTATTACTACGGCTATTACTGCGACTGGTGGAACCAGATCGAGTACCAGAAGTCTTTCGACCACCCTTGCCGGAACTGGACGAGCTTGACGCTTCGGTCGGCTGTGGAAGAGGTGTCGATTTTCCAGAACTGGGTGCACTTCCATAACTCGACTTTCTAATCGTCTTCGAGTGCGAGCCCCATGTATCTGTAAGTTAAATTATTTTGACCATGCTCATTATATTATTATTCTTTTTCATTTATTCAAAAATGTATGATAGTTTTTATTTAACCTAATATGTAATTATTTAATTGTTGTTCTGTCTCTCAATAAATTGTGCTTTACGTATGTGTATATAATTCAATTTATCTTCTACTCGCATATACTATTCTTTTTCCTTTTGTTTTAAAAAATTAAAATTTTGTTAGTAAGTAAAAATTAATAATAATAATATATGATATGCGCGAATATTTTAGCAAAACGTGAATATTGCTCGCGTGCTTCGAAAGAAAAAGATGTAATGATTGCACATATAATTGTCAATTATTAACTCACCTGCTCGTGGCCTGTGGCCTTGAGACGCATGGCCGGAATTATCCGCATCCTCCGTCACGATTGTTGGAAGTGGTTGTGAACCAAGTTCCTAAGAGAGAAAAAAAGTGTTTGTTTTTTTCCCCAAAAAATGTCAATATAAAACTTCAAACATTCAAGAATTTCTTACAGTTCCAATGACTACGAGACAGTTATTATAAACCGTGAACCAAAGACGGCGCAAGATTAGATATCGCTGTTTAATCGCACGATAGATGATAGCGCGATTATATTTACGCAAGCTTTTCACACATCATCAAGTGCAACACAAGATATTTCATAAAATTTTTGATATTTTGAAATTTTATTGATTTATTTTAGCATCAAAAAAAAAGGGAAAG